AACTGGCATGATAGGCAGGATATGGGGGTAACCAGGAGCATGCAGCACTAAAAAAGGACCTACAAAACAGCTGGGCCAAGATGTCCAGGGGTTTCTGTGAACACTGTAGAGTCAGAAATGCATCACTCAGAGAAAGAGGTCAGGGAAGCTGGTGTCATGAGCAGCCCTAGGAGGACAGTCAGGCTATCCTAGGAGTCTTTGAGCAAGCCAGGTGCCAACGTGTGCCCTGACAGATCACATAATGTGGTGACAGGCAGGTCAGTGTTGGGGTGCTCTGTACAGTAGGCAGAGAAATAGGATATCTGGAAGGATATCAAGGACACTCACAAATGAATGGTGTTGGAGTATCTGAAGATATCAGTGTCTGCTGGAGTATTGGGAAACACTGCATGAGTTATTGGAGCTCTCTGAACGTGTGGGCTAAGGGATCTTTAGGGTGTCAGGACGTTCCAATCAGCAGGTAGGGATATTGGAGGATCTATGGATACCAAGATTTCTAGGGCTCCCGGCAAGCAGATGGGTTCAGTGTCTGGGAAGACATGGCTGCATTCTATGAGGAGCAGGGGAAGGTTTCTGGGAGGTTATCATAGGTATTTTGCAGGCAGGTGGGACTGGGGCTTCTTAGATGATGTGGATGTGAGAGTGCCCACAAATGACTGGGGCAGTATCCCAGGGCCCACCTGCTCTGTAGGGTCATCATCCTTTGGCTGCCGCGGCTCGTAGAGATCCAGCATGGTGTGGGAGCCCAGGCTGATGGTGCTGACGGTCGGGTAGTATAGTGGCCCGTCCTTGTGGGGCTGGGGAGTTGGCATCAGGGCTGGACAGGGCAGGAGTCCACACCCCCCACCCTCCAAGGTCCAAGGGGGTCTCCCAGCTGGGGACAGGGAGATGAATGCCTGGTGGGGTATGTAGCAATGGCCTGCCCCATGATGGATCAGAGGTCTGGGGATTGGGGTAAGGATGTGTAGTTACCATGATGCCCTCCCCAGGCAGATACTGGTTCACAAGGACATGGTTGGCTGGGAGACCCCCAAAAAGACTGAGATCAGAAACTTTGTCCACGTAGCGCTGAAGCCACAGAGGAAGCCGCTCAGGAACCATCCCTCGGGGATGCGGGAGCCCACCTGGAGGAGGGCAATGGGGTCCTGAGCACCTAACCAAGGAAACCTCACACCTCGAGCCCTCATTAATGATACCAGGTTTGGTAGCATGCTGACCTTCTAAGGGATGCCTGATTCTTTGGAGATCACCACCCAACCCTCCAAAGGTTTCCTAATGCCTCAAAGGTTTTCTGGAACCTTTGAGACTCCCAACTTATAAGGAAATTCCTAATCCCATAGAACCTCTGCTGACACTTCTGAATCCTCTGGCCCTTGGGACCCCTTGAACCCTCAAGGGCTACCCAATATCTTAAGACTAACCAACCTGAAGCACCTGCCCTAACCCACATCCTTAAGCCACCCATACCCCCAGGCAGGAACACTCACCCCAATTCTGTAACTTCCTCCCCGAGAGCTGAGTCCACTTTGGCTTTGGGGCATTGAAGACCTAGGAAGTGGGGAGGTAGTTACTCATTTTTCAGGACTGTCCTCTCTGATTCTCCCACCCAGGCCAATATAGAGGTCTTTACCTGGGGTGGAAATGGGATCTCTCAGTATCTGTGGGAATGGTTTTCTGAGATGTTCTCAAGATTTTTATGTTTGCTCTTTCCCCTGTGGCAGCTGCTGCTAGCCCCAAAGCCCACCCTATGTCTATTGGGATCAAGAAAATGAACCAGGGCTACACAACTGCGCTCTGAATCTACTTAGAACTCTGGCCTGCACTGGGTTCTTTTAGCCCAGTAAATAGTCTGCACCCTGTAATTTTCTGGGCTATCTCAGAATAGTCTAACTTCTGGGACCTCTTTGTTTCTATCACCTGAGGGTTGCGGGGAGGGGGGGGGGGTTGGGGAAGACGTGCTACACTAGGCTATCTCAGCATAGCAAAGAGAGTACTTTGAAAAGTCTCCACTGCCAAGATACCAAAGTTCTAGAATGGGCCATCTTCAAGAAGTCTATATTCAATAATCTCCTTGTTCCCTTTATGGTTATGGGGCTGGAATGGGCTATCTCATCACAAGAGTCTGTGCTCTGTGGCTAACTTTTTCCTGGGACTCAACCTAGATTAGTTGGAATAGCACAAGAAAGAACTGTGCTATATTAGTGTGTGCGTGCACACTCTATTATTAAGGCACATGTGTCAAACACAAGGCCCGCGGGCCAAATCCGTCCCGCCAGGCCTTGCAATGTGGCCCGCACTGCGCTGTCATCACTGCACTCCGCTGCGTTTCCATCACAATGACAGTTTATGACTGTTCAGTAAACCATTCGGCCCGCGATTTAGGCTGGATTTTAGATTTTGGCCCCTTCTCTGATTGAGTTCGACACCCCTATATTAAGGCAAATAAGGATTATCCCAGTGCAAGGACTGACCTTTGTAGTCTATTTCCCCAAACCTTAAATAGAATACAGACTAGATTATCTCAGCACAGTGGTCTGTGTTTAGAAATCTTGTTCCCAAGAATCTAGGTCTAAGCTGAGCTATTTAAGCAGAGGAAAGAGTATACTCTGTAACATTGTGAGGCCTGGGCTACCTCAGCACTGGAAATCCTTCATTCCCCAAACATCAAAGGCCTGAACTGGGCTATCTCAGCCTATATTTATAATCTCCTTTTCTCTAAAATAGCAAGATTGGGCTCTGTCCGCATAGAGAATATGGGCTCTGTAATGCCCTTATTTCTGAGGCTCTGGGCTTGTACCAGCCTATTCCAGCACAAGGAATCTGATCTCAATAACATCTTTGTTTTGGAAGCTGGACTGGCCTATCTCAGCACAGGAAGTCTGAGCTCCATAATCACTTTATTTCTAAGAATCAGTTTGGTTTTCCCTATCTTCCTGGGAAAAGCTCTTTCTGACAGGTCCAGTAAGTCCCGAGAGTGAGGATGGGTGCCATGTGGCACTCTTTTCCTTCCAGAATCTCCATTATAGCCTCAGGGCTCTCAAGCAGGAACCAGGGTTTGGGGAAGGATCTGGAAAGATGGGAAAAACAGACCAGAAGGGCATTGAGATCACCTGTCGAAGCAAATACTCTTCCTCTTCCTTGGAGATGAAGTCAGGGACATAGTAGATTACAGGTGGTGCCTAGGATGGAAAGATCCCTCTTGAAACTGGTGCCCTTTGATCTACATGGGGACCCTAGCAATGATAAGCAGCCCCCAACCTCTGTAGTGAGGCTCAGGATGTCCCCAGACAGGCCAGGGCCTGAAGTTGAGGGACCAATGTCCATCTGGGGGATAGAAAGTGGAAGTGAGATAGGGGAAGAATGAATCTGGAGGGGGCCGTCCCAGCTCACAAACCCAGGAGTCTTCCACCCTCAGTCCTCCCACCTTCACCCTCTGCACCCCCAGTCCTGACAACCTGCTCCACCCTGAATGGTTCCAGGGCTGGGACCCTGGAGTCCTGATCCTCCGACACCAACTCCATGCACCCGTTCCTGTGAGAAGGGGAGAATATGCTCAAGTCACCAAGCCTCCTACCCTCAGGCTCTATCATGGGTCAGGGCCTCAGCTCAGGGCTCTAACCAAGCTCACTGGGTTTCTAAAACCTGCATCCTCAGCCTCTCAAAAGCCACCCATTGAGTCCCCAGGCTCTTTGCCTGGACACAGTAAGCACCCAGAACATGCAAACTCCATCTACCAAGAGCCTATCAAACTACACATATTTGTTCTTTCAAGAGAGAGCACTCTCTCCTACAGAACATCCTGACCCCACTGGGAGCCTTTCTCAAGAGCTTCACAGCCTCTAGGGCTGCACCCCAGAACCCCTTTAAACATCTTAACTTGAGACCCCTTTCTAACAACCAGATTTGCAACCCTGAGCCTCGCTCTCTAACAACATTCAGGGTCCCTATGGACTCCTCCTGCCTCAGGCCCTTTTAGGTACCCTCAAACCGAATCTCCTCTGACACATCCATGCTGTCTCCTTGGGATTCCACCACTCTGGACTCCCTCAAATTTCCCTTCCCGAGCACCCCTTCACTGCAGCGCTCTTGAACCTAAAGCCCTGAGCCTGACTCCTCGCAAGCCTTCTTTCTTCCCAGCATCCCTGAACCGCCCGCCCCCGCACCCCCTTCACACACACTCACACACACACACACACTCTCACATACACACACACTCTCACATACACTCTCTCACACACACACACACACACACACAAACACACTCTCACACACACACACACACACTCTCACATACACACACACTCTCACACACACACACAAATTCTCACACACACACAAACATACACACTCACACACACACACTCTCACACACACTCTCTCTCACACACACACACACACTCTCACTCACACTCACACACACTCTCACACTCTCTCTCACACACACACACACACACACACACACTCTCACACACACACACTCTCATACACACAAACACACTCTCACTCACACACTCACACACACTCTCTCACACACACACACTCACACACACACACTCACACACACGCACACTCACACTCACACACACTCTCACACACACACACACACACTCTCACACACACTCACACACACACACACACACACACACACACACACACTCTCACACACACACTTTGGACTCCTATGTGAGCTTCCCGGCCCCCACCCTCAGCTCCCTCGGACCCCTCTTCACGCCCTCCGCCATCCGCAAAACTGACCGTCCACCAAGGTCCCCACCAATATCCAAATTCAACACGCTTTTCCTTTCCCAGCCATTTCCGCCCCCTCATTTCCGACGCAGAGTCCTGAGGCCAATAGGAACTCTCACAGGCCTTCAGGGTCCGCCTTCCACCCAATTGGCGCTCTCGCCCAATGTGATCCCGCCCCCTCACCCTCGTTCAGTGATAGGCTGCGCCGCCCGGCGCTGCGGTTACCCGTCTTCGTCTGGCACCGACCAGTCAGCTCCAGAACCGAACCGGCCCACACTGCGGAGTGGGCCCGTGGGAAGGCCAGCCATGGCGACCACCGTTAGAAAAAAGGGCTGTCAGGACTCCCCGCAGTCCACGTCGTCCTGTGCCCAGGCTGCCTGCGGGAGGCGAGATCGAAAACTGGACTTCCTCTCTCTTCCTCCCCGGCAGCGGTGCAGGGTTAGGGCTGTAATCCCCAAACTCAGGTCGAACACAGAGAAGCCATAGAAACGTCTTTATTGAAGAGGGCGGAGGGGTCATGCTGAGTTCTGGGACATGCAGTTAAGGGGTAGTCTGAGCTGTCCTTGGTAGTATGGCCCCCAGGTCTGTCCTGGACTCTGAGCTCTCAGGGTCTCCTTCACGCTGTTAGTCTGGCCTGGGTGCTGTGAGGTCATTTGGGTCAGTGACTCAGATTTGGTGTTTTGGACCTATGACCAGAAGGTGGGTTGAAATGGGGGCTCCAGGATTTGGGATCCCCTCAAGGCCTTGGGGTGCCCTTCATGTATGATTTGGGGTTCTTTGGGGCTGGGACTGGGCTGGGACTCGGGATTTGGGTGTCTTGAGATCTATGACTCAGGGCATTGAAATCCTCTAGTTTTCAAGGATGAGCATTCCTATTTGGAATCTCCTGATGCCTATGAATAGAGCTTAAGGTGCCATGGTAGCCTGGGATACATGTCCTGACTGTAGTCTCCTTCATTCCAGGCACAAGGACTTCCATGATTAAGGTTTCCTGGGGGCTTGGGATTGGATTTTTACATTTAGGACTCCCTAGGAATTTGGGGATCCCATGGTTTGGGGGTCCTGGAAACTAGGGCTTAGGGTTATTCCAGAGGCTGTAGGACTTGGGAGCACAGGAAAATTTAGGATCCCCAGTTTCAAAATAGGGGCTCCAAATTTTTGGGTCCCCCAATAGGGAAAGTCATTACTTTAAAAATAGAGAATTTTCTGGGAATCTGGCCTTCATACATGTTGGGTGGCTGTGGGCCATGTTGGGTGGGCTTCATACAAGGCACTGGGGCCATGTTGGGTGGGCTTCATACAAGGCACTGGGGGATTCTTGAGGGTGAAGAGGATAGGAACACTTGGGGGTTCTGTAATTCGTAGTTCCAGGACTATTGTAACTGTAAATTGGAGATGTCAGTGTCTCTTCTTCAGGAGTAAGAGCAGGGGTCTTTGTAAATGGAGGGAGTCTCTAATTGCAGTATAAGAGTTTTCAGGTAACTATAGGTAATTACATCTTGAGGGGACTGATGTTAAATGTAGCATAGTGACATAAAGGTCTGTAACTGCAGCTCTGGAGGCGTGACTTGTGTTTATTTCAAGGGGATTTGATGGGGTCTTTTTTAATGGGGGAAGGTTCTGGGATGAGTGACTGAGGAATGTTCTGTTGTGGAGCATTATGTGGAGAAGCTCACCATTTGGGGTGATGTGGAAATCTGTTATTGGGAGTACTGCTCTGAATGGTTAAGGATAGGGACTAGCCTGAAGGAGCTACACTCAGGAAATCTTTCTGGGTAACATGGGATCTGTATTTGGGCATTTATCATGGGGGAATCTGTTAATGATAGAGCCTCAGTGATTAATAAGGGTTGGCTAATGGGGATCTCTATTCTGGATGTGTTACTAGGAATATCTATCTCAGGGTGACTTGGGGGCTCCCTGTGTCAGGAGATGCTGGAGGGGCTGTCTCTTTGTCAGATATCCAGGGTCTCTAGGACTGCATCTCCGCCCTCAGCATCCAAGGAAACCAGCAGCAGAAGAGCAATCTGGAAAGGAGAACCATGTCACTCCATAATGCAGGGATGGGAACATCTGGATCTATCTCCCTCAGCTCTTCCCCAAATGTTTGGCCTTGCTGGATTCTGCCTCTACCTGTTTGGCTGTGCCTTCCCAGGCTCCTGTGGAGGGTGTTCTGCCTCCCCTAAGTGCCCCTTAAAAATTGAAGTCTAGCCAAAACTGGTTTGGCTCAGTGGATAGAGCGTCAGCCTGTGGGCTGAAAGATCCCAAGTTTCATTCCAGTCAAGGGCATGTACCTTGGTTGCAGGCACATCCCCAGTATGGGGTGTGCAGGAGGCAGCTGATCGATGTTTCTCTCTCAGTGATATTTCTAGCTTTCTATCCCTCTCCCTTCCTCTCTGTAAAAAATCAATAAAATATATTTTTTTTTAAAAAAATTGAAGTCTCCAGAATTTGGTACAGGGCCTCACTCCCTAAAGACTTTTCTTGATAAGCTGACGAGGCACAAGTTTTCCTAACCTCTATTTCTGGCCCCAACCAGAGCCCCACACCCCTGTGTCCAATGGCCTGGCTACGCACCTGGAGATTGAGTTCTCTGATGCGATGTCCTTTGGAGTCCGGACTGTAGTAAAGGTGCGTTTGGGCTGCGTCACTGAAGGGGAGGGCAAGGTCTCAGGGGAGGGGATGACAGACCCACTTGTGCCCTCAATACCCACTCAGACTCTACCCACCCAGACTCCTGGACCCCACATTCCCAATATCCATCTGAACCTTTTTTTGTCAATAATCTGTGTCCTCCAATATCTACCCATGTCTCGGGTGCCTGCCCAGAGCTTGTTGTCAACATCCCCATATCCCATAGCACCTATCTTCTTGGGGTTCCTGTTTCATCATTTTCCTGGACTTTGTGTTCCCAGTTTAATATTGAAGATTCTGTAAACTTCCTCCTGTCCCCAAACGCTCCTCCCCACACTCCAGCCCCCAACTCACTTGTCACTTGATGTACTTTTTTGGCTCCGACATTGTCCCCAGAGGGGTCAGTGGATCCACCAATCCTAGGAGACATGAAGAGTGGGAGGAGTCAGAGCCTCAGAAGCCAGGGTCTGACTCGGAGATGGGTCAAGGGGCCTATGCGGAAAGAGCTCCGGTGTGGGCATGGATATCCACACTGTCTTGCTAGTCCAAGAGGAGGAGACACCTGAAGAGGGAATCACCTCTGAATTCGGGATGCTGGTGCAAAGACTCCATGCTTTGGGGGGCAGGTGAAGTATCCGACACCAAAGACGGAGCCATCATGCTTGCCCGTGGGCTGGTCTAGCTCAATTCCATACCAGTAACCTGAAACAGAAGAGTGTCAAACCTTGAGGCCCTGCATGCCTGCCTCACAGCCCAGATCTCTGTACTCACCTGGGGCAAAGTCTGTCTTCCCGTAGAAGCGCACAACCCCTTGCTTCTGGCCTGCTACAAGGACTTGGTCTCCAACCGCAGCCTTGGCTCCCTCTCGCTGCTGCAGGTTACCCAGAGATGAAGATGATGGGGGCTTCTTCTTGCCTGGGGATAGAATGTGCAGGGGTGAGGGTAGGATGGGGCTCCAGGCACCTGCCCTGGGGACCCCATGGCACCAGAAAGCCCAAAGGCAGAAATTCTCTCCTGGCTCTAATCAGGAACTTGAACCTTCCCTAGAACTGCAGGGCTTTGGTGTGGAAGGAAACAGTCCCAACCAAGTTAAGAACTGGGAGGACCCCAAAAACCTTTCTCAAAGCTGAGGATATTTGGACCAATAGAAAAAAACAGTCACAGAAGTCAGGAACCCAGCCCGACCAGCGTGACTCAGTGGTTGAGCGTTGAACTATGAACCAGGAGGTCATGGTTCAATTCCCCATCAGGGTACATGCCCAGGTTGCATGCTAGATTCCCCAGTGGAGGGTGTACAGGTGGCAGCTGATCAATGATCTTTCTCATCATTGATGTTTCTTTCTCTCCCTCTCTTTTTCTCTCTGAAATCAATAAAAAAAAATTTTAATTAAAAGAACTAAAGGTCATCTCCTAAAATTAGGGAGTTTGGACATGAGGAGAAACTGAGTCACAGAAGCTAGGTTACACACAGATTATGTCCAAGACTGGCTGTCCTCACTCCTCGGGTTCCCCCTCTGACCTTTGTGTTCCCTTCGGCCTTTGCCAGTAACACGGGAGAAGTCCATCCGGGGAGTGCGAGGTGTGGAGGTGACAGATGAAGGAGGTGCGTCCACTGCTTTGGAGATCTTGGACACAGAGGCAAAGAGACCTGGAGGGATAGAGCCTGGGCTGAGAGCTGTCCAAGTCTTTGCCCAATGCCTCTGCTCCATATCACACTCCAACCCCCATTACCAAGTAAGAACTACAGAGTGGACTCCACCCACCACTCCTTTTGGGCCTCTGGTAGGACTGACCCTGCTTGGGAGGGCAGATGAAGTACCGGACACCACCAACACTGCCATCGTTCTTGCCCTCAGGTTCGTCCAGCTCCACGCCCACCCACTGGCCGCTGGCGAACTCGGTGGTCCCGCAGAACCGCAGTGTGCCTGTCTGGAAGAACAAGGAAGGGTGTGGCGTGGGGAGGCCTTGGGAGGCCACGATAGGCCACTGTTTCACAGGCAGCATGGAGGGGGAAGTGAGGGAGCCCCAGACTCAAACCTCAGCTCAGACATCACCATTTACTGGCTATATGACATAACCTCACTGTGCCTTAATGTGCTCTTCTGCAAAATAGGAGCAGAAACTGTGCCTACCTTAGAGGATTAGAACTACCCTGTTCAATACAATAAAGAGCCACTAGCCAATATATGACAATTTAAAATTAAATTAAAAATTCATTTCCCCAATTACACCAACCACATTTCAAGTGCTTAATAGCCACATGTGCCTTGTGGATACTTCCTGGGACAGCATAGTTATAGCAACATTTAAAGTTCATAGATTGGCCAGGTGCTGAGTAAGGGATTAGTGAGTGTTGACTACTATTATCATGTAACTTTGGTCCTGGGACCTCCTGGGTCAATTTCATCTGGAAAATTGGGATAACAATCCACCTCCTAGGCTTTGACTGGTTGAAAACTTCTAATATGTAAAGTTGTTTAGCTTCAGGGAGTGTGGTTATTATAACAGCATGAGGCCCCTTTACTTAAATCTCAGTTCTTGTCTATAGGATGGGCTAATAACAAGTGCCGCTTTGGAGGGTTAGTGTGGGGATCTGAGCAGTTCCTGGCACAGAGAGCACTCAGATGCACCAAGCCCTGTTCTAAGGAATTTATACATTTAACTAATTTAAACCTCATACTTCTCCTTGACATGGGAGTTATCAGCTCTACTGTACAGATGGAGCAACTGATGCCCGGCGAGGCAGGATCACTGACTCCAAGCCTCTGAGTTGGTAAGATTTGCCTGAGTAAATCCCTGAGCCTAAACTCATAACTACTGTGTTATGCTGATTTTCTAAGGGGCAGGGATGATTATTGTATATCCTCAAACAAAGGGTTTCACCTCTCTGAGCTTCCTAGAGTCTTCTGGATTGCAAGATGGGGTAAGTGAACTCATCCTGTTTTCAGAATTGTCACATGAACTTAACTAGATCACACACAGAAAGCTTTTCAGATGGGGCTGATGCATACAGAAAGATAGGGAACAATATGTAACCCTTGTGGTTTCTCAAGAAATAAAATCCAGATTCTTCCAATGGCATGCAGGTCTGGTAAGATCAGTCCCTGCTGACCTCTCCACCTCATATTCCCTGGGGCCTCCGTACCTGCTATGTCTTCATATTTTTGCAGGGTGAATTCTTTTTCATCTCAATTCATACATCACCTCCTTAGAGAAGCCCTCTTAGAACTCCCAGCTAAAATTACCTCTACCCTCATGCAGGGATAATTTACTAAATCCAAGCATTTACTGGTTCCCAAAGCCCTCGTTGCCATCATAAATGATCTTAACTTGTTTACTTTATTGACTCTCTCTCATTAGAAATGAAGCTCCATGAGAGTAGGGCTGGGTCTGACAGAGCGCTTTATCCCTAAGAATGGGCTTGGTCCAGCAAAGGGCTTGCGAGACACCAGTATGGTAAATGAATCAAAGTTGGAATGCCTGGATGAAGATTCTCTGTCCTCTGGACCTTTTTACCTGCTCCCCTACCTGAGACCCTCTTTTCCTAGCTCACTTCTCATCCTCAAGTAAGTACACCTTGTGTCACACCCCTGACTGTTCTTCCAAAGTACTGACTACTCTGGGAGCAGGGGGGCCCTGATTGGAGACCACAAAGCTCAGGGGACCCAGATGGAGCAGAGCTTCACTGACCACTCTGTGCTTCCCCATGATGCCACCACTGCTCTGGACTGTCACTGGCAGTTGATGCATCTGTTTCTCACTGGACTGAAACTTCAGCCCAGATTGGAACACAAAAGCAGCACTCACAGAACAACTGTTAGGTGAAAGAAATAACTGCGGATCATTAGAGGGTGGGCCAACAAAGGGAAAGTCTGCACACTGCCCAATGACCCAGTCCTAAGGGATGAGGGCTGAGTCCTGCCCTTCCCTACCCGGTCTAGTCCCTGACCTTCTGGCCATCCAGCAGCACGCGGTCTCCCAGGCGCAGGCCCAATGTGCTGAGCATGAGATTGCCTGGGACGTTGTCATAGTTGGGTAACGTGACCTTGGGGAGGGCGCAGGAGAGTGGCACGGCCTCCTCCAGCAGTGTCCGTAGCTCCTTGGCCACCAGTGCTGCCTCTGCCTTGTCCAGGGACATGTCCATGGGGTCTGGGACGACCTCCGCTGGCACCTGTCCCTTTCGGTTCTGAGGACCAATGGAAAAATAAGGACGAGGACTCAGTGGCACAGGCTGCACCCCCACTGAACCCATGCCCCAAGACCCTGGGTCAGGTGAAACAGAGGTGGGACTAGGTCACACTTTGGGTCAACATGGGACTAAGAAGGGGTGGGACATTAAGGTACAGACCACGTTCCAGGGAATCTATCCATGAGATCTCAGGCTAGATATGTCAAGTATTATAATTGTGAGTGGGACTAGGATGGAGCTGCTAGGGACTGAAGGTTATGTTCAAGTGTTGTAGGGTCACACCTTTAGGGAGGCCATGCCCCCAGAGACCACAGGTCAGGAATGGGGCCATGTGAGAAATGAACACTAAAAATAGACTCTTATAACACTGAGTCAGTTTTCCAATTGAGCCAATGGGAAAGCAGGTGAGGCAAAATCTTAGGGGCACAGGTAACAACCCAAGATATATGTTCCTGGGATGCTGCAGAGTAACTCATATTAAAGATAGGACCTAAAAATGGATGGGTTGGGGTCAAAGATCATATTGAGGGCTTAAGCTGGGCCCAACCCTCTCATTCACCAAGAGTCTCCTTCAACTTTTTTCATGATCTCTAAATACTGTTTACTCAAGGTGACATCAGCCAGGACTGAAAGAAGTCCTTGCTGGGTGACCCTGCCTCAGTTTCCCCATTGTAAAACAGTATTCCTAATATAGTTCAACTGACATATCATGAACACTAAATGTCAGCTGTTATGTTGTTTGTTGAATGTACAGATGATCTTTATAATGTTTTGAGAGCTTCCAGAGATGCAGGTGGTCAGGGCCCCCTCATCTTCCGCAGAGGCCTGCTGCCGGAAAGGAATGGGGGAGGAAAGAGAAGGAAGATAAAAGTGCTGAGCCAAGGTGGCAGTACCCGCAGCGCAGGGTTGGCACCGTGCTCCAGCAAACATTTGGCTGCACCCAGGCACAGGTTAGAGGCGGCGATGTGTAGAGCTGAGCCATGGTTGAAATCACTGCATGTGGAGTTCACCACTGGGAGGTGGGCGAGAGGAGAGATTTTGGTAAGTGTTTTACCTTCCAGCCTCCATCTCTTAACAGGCTCTTAACCTCCCAACCCCAGTGCCTTCCATAAAATTGGCCGTTCCCTGCAAGGTCCAGCCCTGTCCGAGGGTATGAACCACTGAACCCCATCTCCAATGCCTCTAGTCTCCAGCCTCCTACTATCTCTGTTTATTCCTTCCTTCCTGCCAAGCCCAGGACTCAGTTTGGCACCATCATTTGGCATCCCTCCTTCTTCATACCACATCCCATCCCCAAAACCCTGGGCCTCTTCCAGGGCCTCTTCCCTCACTGGGTCCTGGCCTCCCACCCCAGCCTGGACTTCACCCCTCACCTCGAGGCCGAGCACCCTTCAGCAGCACACGCACGAGGTCGGGCACATCAAAATAGGCTGCATAGTGCAGCGCGTTCATGTTGGTCCAACGGCTGCGCAGGGTCACGTCTGCGCCCAGCGCCAGCAGCTGCTGTGAGAGGCGCACTGCTGCAGCGGGGTCTCCTGCATAACAGCCCGGGTCAGTCATGGGTGCAGGGCATGAGGAATTTCCTGGGCCTCGGGGATGGCAATTTGGGATCTTAGGCTGCGGATTTAGGGTGGGGATCTGAAAACCAGAGTTCTGGGTGGTTTTGAAGGTGTTGGGTCTGGGGCCTGGGTTTTGGGCCATGTGGTTTGGGGTTTGGACCCTCACCGACTCCATGGGCCCCAGCCTTGCAGGCATAATGAAGCAGAGTCATGTCGGTCAGCCCATCACGATCATTCACATGGCAGCCTCGACGCAGAATCTGGGAGTACCAGAGGACCAAGGAAGGTTACCCAAACAAGCAAGGGACCCCAATCCTCTCCCTTCTTGGCTTCCCCAGTGTTCTTACCTCATTGCCAATGACATCAATCTTGTGCTGTACTTGGGGTACCCACTGGCGCACAATGGCAAACAGCTCAGGGATGGTAGTCTGTGGGTCAACCAGAATCTCCTGGCACGCCGGGTCATTGGGGTCGAAGAAGGTGAAAGCTGAGGTGGTAAGAGGTCTAAAGTCATCCAAGGCAAGCTGACCCCTCCTCCAGAGGAGCTTAGGGTTTTGCTTTTAAGACCCTCCCTAACTAGGGTCTCAAAGTAGTGGTGCATAGGCCATGAGGTTTCAAAGTCAGGAGGTTTCACATAAAAATCTGGATGCCCACTATGTCTTAAAAAACTTGAAGACTGCCGAAACCGGTTTGGCTCAATGGATAGAGTGTTGGCTTGGGGACTGAAAGGTCAAGGGCATGTACCTTGGTTGCGGGCATATCCCCAGTAGGGGGTGTGCAAGAGGCAGCTGATCAATGACTCTCTCTCATTGATGTTTCTAACTCTCTATCTCTCTCCCTTCCTCTCTGTACAAAATCAATAAAATATATATTTTTAAAAAAATTTTAAAAAAACAAAAAACTGGAAGACTGAGCAATACCCATGGAGCAGCAAGCACCACCTCTTGAAACAATAGTGTGGTAAGGAGTGTAGCACTCTCATGTCTGCGTGCCCAAGGAGGCTGTTAGTGCACTGTTGCCTGAAAGAACATGGGGACAGTTTGGACAAATTTCAATAATAATAATAATAATAATAATAATAATAATTTAATACCACCATTTGCCCACCATCTGGAACTGAAATATCATTGCTGTCATGTATACATAAGGAACTGTTTGACATTGAAATTGGGACTCAAAAGAACTGGTGGCCCAGAAAGAAACTCACTACAGACTGATTCATATGTCTTTCAGCATAACGGTTATTGTTTGTCTCATTTTTGATTCTTATATTTCCAGTAGGACATGATCTCACTCATCTAGGGGAAATGGTGAACAACATAGACTGATGAACAAGAACAGACCCAGAGATAAGGAGCCATGGGTCAGACTGTTGGACCTCAAAGGGAGAGTGGGGATAAAAGGGAGAGATCAACCAAAGGACTTATGTGCATACATATGAGCCTAACCAGTAGTCAAGGACAATAGGGGGATGGGGGCATGAGTGGGGGGTGGGGTGGGGGTTTGGAATGGGGGGTTGAGGACAAATATGTGATACCTTAATTAATAAAGAAATTTTTAAAAATAATAAAATAATTTAAATCAGAAATGCTGGTTTTTAAGAAAAATCTCCCCAGGTTTTCAAATGCTGTGCAATCCACATAAAATGTATGCATGGTTAGGATCCAATATGTGGCCAGCCAGGGTGGTGCCCAGAGGAACTTCCATCTTCCCTATTAGACTGATGAATATTACTCTCTGTAGTAACATCAGCACCCAGCTTAGGACCAAGCACATGGAAGAAACTCAGTACATGTTGGGTGAGTGAATGAAACATCAGATATAAAGCCCGGAGCAGTGCAGCACAGAAAGTGTCTCCAGGAATCATACGTGTGCTTTGTTTTAAAACCCCAGTAACAGCATTCTATGGCTCAGAATCCTGACCTTGCTCCCATTACATTCAGAATATAGACCACAGTCCGAAACTCTGCCTACAGGACCTGCACAAACTGGCCTGGCTGTTCTCTATTCTCAACTTCTACACTGGCCTCCTGTCCTTCCAACACACCAAATTCTGTCTTAAGGATTTTGTGCTTGCTGTTTTTCTTACTTGGGGCAGTCGTCTCTAAGATCTTCTCAAGGCTTTGCAGGTCTTTGCTCAAATGTCACCTCTTCAGAGAGGCTTCCCCATCACCCTGTTGAAATCAGCACTTCTGCCCTTCTCCCATCTCCTACCCATTTTTATTTCTTTAATCACAGCACATATCACTACTTAACTTGTTTACATCTCCCTCCCTCTTTTCCTATTCTCCTCTTTTTCCTTCTTCCTTACTTTCTCACTAGTCTCCCTCATTAGGATATAAGTCTATGTTCCAATCTGCCTTGGCTACCCTATATCCCCCCACACACTCTTTATCCCCAAAGCCCAACACAGAACCTGGCACAGAGTAGGTGTTCAGTCAATCTCTCTGAAGTAATGTACAAATTTAATAAACAAATATATAAGTTCCTCTTGGAGTCCACCGTAGCCCTCTCTCTGTCCTACACCACATTTCCAGATTCCTTCACCTGTGACCAATCCTGCTTGTTTTCAGCCCAGACCCTCTTACTTCCCACCAGACCAAAGGCCCTGGCTGTATCCAGCTGCATTTCCAAAGAGACTTTCCAGTTTCCTGAAGTGGAACCCCTGTCCCAGACATACAGATAACTTCCTTATTTTTCTACCAAACTGAGGTTAACCTGTTGCCTCTCTGATCCACCTCTAGTGGGTGACATGTCCCTCTAGTTTCTGACTCTCACAGCCAATGTCTTCTAAAAACTCTTTATATTCAACTCCAGCTGAGCCCCACCCTCTCTACCTTTTAAACATATGAGACCCATCACTTCTGATTTTAAACAATCCCTCTAATGCTCTCTCCCAATCATACTTAAATGTATCTGAAGTCTTCACTGTGGCCTTTAAGCCCCATTGCCAACCTCTCACCTCAACTCCGATTTCTCCCCAACTACAGCTCCATGAGCTGCTTTCTGTTCCTAACTCAGTCCTGTTCCAAATCCAGGGCTCTGCACTTCCTGCTCTCTGCCTGGAACTCTTTCTCCATTGATTCTCCTCATGCTCTGGGCCTCAGCCTAAATGCTACCTCAAAAGCAAGACCCACTCTGACCTCTCTACCTCAAGTTGCTTCCCTCTAGCCATTCTCTATTTTCTTCCTTTCTTCCTTCCCTTCTTTCTTTCTTTTATTGTTGTTGTTTTTTGTTTGTTTTTGTTAATACTCGCCCAAGGATATTTTCCCATTGATTTTTGGAGAGTGTGGAAGACAGGGGAGAGACACAGAGAGAAACATTGATGTGAGGGAGACACATACCAGCGATTAAGCCTGCAACATGGTACATGCCCTTGATGAGAATCTAACCTGGGACCCTTCAGTCCACAGGCTGACACTATCCACTGAACCAAACCGACTAGGGCTCTATGTATCTCTATCTTTTATTTCTTTCATAGCACTTACTCTAATCTGAACTTACCTGATTTATTGATTTGTTCATCATTCAGTCTCTCTTTTTCTCCTGAGAGAAAGGATCATGCCTGGATTACTCATCATTAAATCTCTGTCACCCAACATAATGTTTGTCACAGAGTAGTAGCAATAGATAAATATTGCTTGATGATTAGATATTTTCAGTTTCTCTAGGAAGCACCCTCTCAGCTCCACACCCTCCTTCCTCAGAACCTTCACTCCAGCAGTTCCTCCTATAGTTACCTCTCCTGGGATTCCCTCTCCCTAGCACTTTCCTGATTAACCCCCAACTCATCCTTAGGGCTCTCTCAAATGTTACTTCCTCAGAGAAACCATGTCTTAAACTCTTGCAGTATTCTGTTCTTGGCAAGCACAATTTCTCATCATGTCATGTAATTACATATTTATATTATATTATTATACTTGTTACAGAGGTCTGTGAGTTCTCTCAGGGCAGAGGCTCTATCTGTCTTGCTCCATGCTGTGCTAACAGCTTCTAGAACAGAGCCAGGTCCACAGCAGACTTTCAATAAATGTTTGTTGAATGACTAAATGATGTATCATGAACCAGTTTTGAATTATTCCAATTCCATTCTCCAATGAATGAATGAGTGAGGGAGGGAGGCGTTTAGAATACAAGGATTCAGCAGCTAAGAGACTCCATCTAAGGCTCCGGGCCAGATTCTAAGGTGGAAGAATGGTTACCGTAGTCCTTGGGAAGGGGGGCAGGTGCTGAGGGATGCACAACAGGCTTCTGTCGGCGCTCCTGGGTGGGGCTGGGGACCTGGGGAACCTCCTCATCCTCCGCATCCTCTTCTTCCTCCTTGTCCAGGAGCGGGGGAGCCATAGGGGTAGGATCTGTCTTAGTCATTATCCTCGGTGACCCTCAGCGGGACAGCCTTCAGGCAAATCCTGGAAGCAGAGGTCAGCTAGAGAGGGCACCCCACAGGCTCCCTCATCCCAGTCCACAGAAGCTCCCAGGGCCTCGCATTCCCAGCTCTGGATGTGGAGCAATCATAAGGATACTCGTACCCATCAGAGGACCCTAATATGTGGGCCAGTGTCTACCACTTCCTGCAGGCCCAGCCCCTCATTCTTCTATCGCGCCACGGCCCTCGGTCTAGGCCGCCCCCTCCCCGGGTTTGTTTATCTCTGGATGCTGGATGCTGGGTGCTTCGCCCCTCCCCTTCTCCGCGGGCCTCCCCCCTACGCATCTTACCTTGGGCAGACGGGGCTGGAGACCAAAGCTGAGACTGGGGGGACTGGAGAAATGGGTGTCAGTTCCAGGGGAAGTGATGGGTGAGAAGGAGAAACAAGCCGGGGGTTGATGGGGGGTAGAGAGGGAGGGGCGCTGAAGGCGCATGCGCACTGTTACCTACAACCCGGCGAGGGGGAGGAGATGCTGGGAGGCTCCTCACGCTGCTGGAAAGGCTGGATGCAGCGATGGAAGGGGGACTGACACGGAGGATGGGGAGAGAAAGGAAAGAAGTGAACACGAAGAAGGGAGCGAGACATGGAGACGGAGAGATATGAAATAGAGGCAAGGGTAATGGGAAAGCGGACTCAGTGCTTTTTGACCCCACCCTCATGATGGAGCTTTCCTGTAAGCCTGCACACCAGGCCACACCAGGCAGTGTTGGTGGTGATGGATGTTTTCTCTGTGAGATCTGAGAACTGACATCTATATCAGGTGTTTCAGAGATATGATTTCTATCATTATCATCATCGTCGTCGTCGTCGTCATCATCATCATCATCCTTCTCATCAGAGAGTTCACACAGCACTTAGCAGACCCAGAGAGGTTAAGTCACTTGCCCAAGGGCACACAGCAAGTAGGTTTTGGAGAGAAGACTTGAAAACAGACAGTCTGGACTTTTAATTACCTTGCTATATATCTGTCAACCCTCTCAGAACCTGTATCTTTTTAACTTTATTTATTTAATTAGTTAGTTTGTTGGTTTTTAGATGCATTTTATTTAGACAAGTAAAAATAATTAGATATTCAGAAGCAGTGTACAATGAGTGAGGAATCAAGCCAGTTACTAGCCTGTCACACAGAAACATGGAGAGACAGTTATAGGGATAGAAGAAATGTAGGAGCAGAGAGACAGGGACATAGATATGGAGGACACAGAAAGATGCAGATAAAGAGAGATATGGGGAAGAGAAATACCACATGACCTCTCTCATTTATGGATATTAAAGAACATTATAAACTGATGAATCAAAAGTAAGATATAAAGACAGTAAAGCAACAAGCAGACTCAAATTACAGCTGGGAGGGTAGGGAGATCTGGGGGAGATAAGAGATCAACCAAAGGACTTGTATACATGCATATAAGTACAGCCAATGGACACAAAACTCTGGAGAGGGAGGGTATGTATGGGAGGGGGGGCAATGTTAAAATATGTACACAGATAATAATTTAATTAAAAAAGTATTTAAAAAAATAAAATAAAACCAGTTCATGGTGGGTAGTTATGTCCTATTTTTCTCTAACAAAAGTCAGTATTCACCTTAACCCCAGCCTGTCTGTTGTCTTTTGCATCTAAGATAACATACCTTTGAGATATCAAAGTAATTTCCTTCCTCCACCTCTCACTACCCAAAGTGCAACCACCACACCAGAGGACAGACCACAAATCCCCCTCATTGTTATTATATCATGTTGTTAACTGTTAACTATCCTATACCTACTTGTTAAAGAAGCATGTGTCTGCCTTGGCTGGGTGGCTTAGTTGGTTGGAGTGTAATGCTGCACACCAAAATGTTGCAGGTTCGATTCCCATTCAGGGCACATACCTAGGTTGCAGGTTTGTTCCTTGATTGGGGAGTGTATGGGAGGCAACTGATTGATGTTCCTCTCTCTTCCTCTAAAATAAACATGTCCTTAGGTGAAGATTTAGAAAACAAACCAAAAAGGTATGTGTCTATTTGTTTTACTTTTTATCCAGTCTCAGAGATTTCCCCATTTTACTTCTCCTGCCTCCCTAATGTATCACTAATGGATTTCATGTAACCCCCTTACTAGTACATCTTCACTTTTGATTCTGATGTATAAAAAAGTGGTAAAACTGCCATTTCCCAGAGCATTTTCTCAATCTCACTGATACCATTGTAATTAGCTAGTTATTAATTACTAGAGGCCCAGTGCACAAAATTCATGCCCTGGGAGGGGGTCCCTCAGCTCCACCTGTGCCCTCTCATAGTCTGGGAGCCCTCAGGGAATGTCCAGCTGATGGCTTGGGCCCACTCCACAAAGGCAGGAGAGGCTCCCGTCATTGCTGCTGTACTTGCCAGCCGTGAGCCAGGCTTCTGGCTAAGTGGCACTCCCCTGGTGGGAGCACACTGACACCAGGGGGCAGCTCCTGCATTGAACATCTGTCCCCTGGTGGTCAGTGTTGTTGGTATTTTAATGGGGAGTGCATTGAACCTATAGATTGCTTTAGGAAGTATGGACTGGTTTTTTTTTTAATAAATATATATTTTATTGATTTTTCACAGAGAGGGAGAGAGAGTTAGAAACATCGATGAAAGAGATTCATCGATCGCTGCCTCTTGCACACCCACTACTGGGGATGTACCCGCAACCAAGGTACATGCTCTTCACTGGAATCGAACCCTGTACCTTTCAGTCCACTGGCGGATGCTCTATCCACTGAGCCAAACCAGTTTCGGCGAAGTATGGATATTTTGATGATGTTGATTCTACCAATCCATGAAAATGGTATGTTCTTCCATCTGTTTGCATCTTCCTCTATCTCTTTTTTCAGTGTCGTGTAGTTTTCCGCATATAGGTCCTTTACTTCCTTAGTTAAGTTTATTCCTAGGTATCTTAATTTTTTTTGGTGTGATGGTAAATGGAATTGCTTTTTTAGTCTCTGTTTCTATATGTTGCTGTTGGTGTATACTATACATAGAAATGCCATAGATTTCTTGGCGTTAATTTTGTATCCTGCTACATTGCCAAATTCATTTATTAAGTCAATTCGTTTTTTAATGGAGTCTTTTGGGTTTTTTATGTACAATATCATGTCATCTGCAAATCAGGATAACTTTACTTCTTCTTTTCCAATTTGGATGCTTTTTATTTCCTCTTCTTGTCTAATTGTGATGGCTAGTACTTCCAGTACTATGTCAAAGAGGAGTGGCGAGAGTGGGCATCCCTGTCTTGATCCTGTTCTTAGAGGGAATGGTTTTAGTTTTTGCCCATTGAGTATAATGTTGGCTTTGGGTTTATCATATATAGCTTTTATTATGTTGAGGTATGATCCTTGTACTCCCACCCTGTTGAGAGTTTTTATCAGGAAAGGGTGTTGGATTTTATCAAATGCTTTTTCTGCATCAATTGATATGACTATATGATTTTTATCTTTCAGTTTGTTTATGTGATGTATCACATTTATTGATTTGCGGATATTGTACCATCCTTGCATTCCTGGAATAAATCCTACTTGGCCATGGTGTATGATCTTTGTGATGCTCTGCTGGAGCCGATTTGCTAGAATTTTGTTGAGGATTTTGGCATCTATGTTCATGAGGGATATTGGCCTGTAATTCTCTTTCATTGAGTTGTCTTTTTTTTTTTTAAGGCAATAAATCTTTATTAAGCACCTATAGTTACTGGGAGGAGGCCATGATGATGGACACACTGTCAAAATCAATCTTCTCCACAATGTTCTTGGGCTTAATGCTCTCTTCCTGGCTACAGATGAAAATCTGTCCTGCCTCATCAGTGCTCCAGCTGTACTTGCTCATCTACACCTTCAGCTGGCTGTTGGTCAGGTCCCCGAGCATCTCGGCCAGCAGCCAGCGATCAATGTGCTGATAAGTGATACCCACGACATGGCAGATAAATTTTCAGACAGAATCTTCAAAACCAGTTATACCTTCCAAAAGGTCCATGGTTTTATCCAGGGCTTGCCAGAAGGCCTGGAAGTGGCAGGTCTCTAGCAGGTCTCCAAGGTATAAAATCTGTCGGATGGGCCGTTCTTCTTGATGGGCCTGGTTGATCATGCACTTGCAAAGGGTGAAGTTCGTGTGGGGCAGGTTGGTGAGGGCCTTTAGCAGGATCTGAGCGGTGACAGTGGTCTGAAAGAAGGCTGGGTTGAACTGGTACAGCTTCAGGACAGCCAGGTTGGCTTCCAGGTCATAGGCATTCTCCTTGGCCTGTGTCTCCACATAGCGCTCCAGGGTGGCCAGATTCTCAGGATTGTATCTGTCGATGCCCTTGAGCAGCTTGCCCACGTTCGCTCTCATCTGCTCGAACATGGCCATGCCTGCGGTCGTTTCCCACCTGGGGGATGGAGCCGCAGTACCGGCAGGTGCGGCGTCCTAGGGGACCGGAAAAGGAAGAGCGAGTTGTCTTTATCTGGTTTTGGTATTAAGGTGATGCTGGCTTCATAAAAGGAGTTTGGAAGTGTTCCTTCCTCTTGAATTTTTTGGAATAGTCTGAGGAGGATAGGTTTTAGTTGTTCCTTGAATGTTTGGTAAAACTCTCCTGTGAAGCCATCTGGCCCTGGGCTTTTGTTTGCTGGAAGCTTTTTGATGACTGTTTCAATTTCTTCCAAAATCACTGGTCTATTGAGATTTTTAGATTCTTCCTGGTTGAGTTTTGAAAGGTTGTATTTTTCCGGGAATATGTCCATTTTCTCCAGGTTGTTCAGTTTGTTGGAATAGAGTTGTTCGTAGTATTTTGTAACAATCCTTTGTATTTCGGCGCTGTCTGTTGTTATTTCACCTCTTTCATTTCTGTTTTTGTTTATTTGAGTCCTCTCTCTTTGTTTCTTGGTTAGCCTGGCTAGAGGTTCATCTATCTTGTTTATCCTTTCAAAGAACCAGCTCTTGGTTTTGTTGATCTTATGTATTGTTTCTTTGGTCTCTATGTTGTTTATCTCTGCTCTGATTTTTGTTATTTGCTTCCTTCTGCTTACACTGGGCTTTTCTTGTTGCTCTTTTTCTAACTCTTTGAGTTGTAGAATTAGATAATTTGTTACCATTTTTTCTTGTTTTTTGCAATAGGCTTGTAGGGATATGAACTTCCCTCTCAAAACTGCTTTTGCTGTGTCCCATAGATTTTGGATAGTTGTGTTTTCATTGTCATTTGTTTCCAGGATGTTTTTAATTTCTTCCTTGATTTCTCTGGTAACCCAGTCCTTGTTTAATAGCATGCTGTTTAGTCTCCATGTGTTTGATTTCTTTGGATTATTTTTATTGTAGTTAATTTCCAGTTTTATGCCACTATGATCTGAGAAGATGCTTGATATGATTTCTATCTTCTTGAATTTGAAGAGACTTTGCCTATGTCCCAAAATGTGGTCTATCTTTGAGAATGTCCCATGTGCACTTGAGAAGAATGTATATTCTGTGGCTTTGG